AAAAAAAAAAAACTCAGTGTTTCCTTTTCTTTATATAGGAAAACTTTGGCTTGTGCTCAGCAGGGATTAAGACAAAGTAAATGCAACCAGAGGCCAAAGAGGTCATGTGGTCAAATCACAAGATCTGACCAGTTAGCCATTTCTTTTTCAGAAAATCATAAAAAAAAAAAATTGCAGCAGCTCCAGAAACCAAGGTATGGTTGGCCAGTGGCTGAAGGAAGTTTGTCTGGCATCTGCCTTTTCTGAGAATGTATCCAGGCCAAAGGTAGATCCCATCACACAGAAACATTAAAGACAAATAATATACTTTTCACTAAAAATAATAGTTAGCAGTTATTCTTCACTTGTTTATTCAAACAGATTCTTTGTTGGGTGACACGAAAGAATACGCCAAGAAACTATTGGAAGATTGGACCATTATAATATTATGATTTAGACTGGAAGGGACCTCTGAAGGCCATTTAGTTCAAACCTTTGCCTAAAGCAGAGCTAAGTTCAAAACTTAGATCACGTTGTTTAGGATCTTATCCAGCTCCGTTTTGAATATCTATACCCTAATAGCCTGTACTATAAACAGAACTGAAAACTTTATGGCTTTCAGAATCTTTTCCATTAGCTTTTCTGAACTTTCACCTGAAGATGGTACTAGGAGTGTCTCACATAAGCAGTATATATTTTTTATGCTTGACAGTGATTTTAAGCTGTGATTCTTTGCTTGATACTTGTTTTACAGTGATATGTGCAGCTGTTCTGAAGAAGCTAGCCTGAGATAATCTGTTAGTTTTTCCGAGGCAGGTCTGGAAGCTGGCACGTTGTGGGTGCAGGGACTGTGCAGCCCCAGCAGATGACCTAGAGTGCAGGTACTAGCCAGGGGGGCTGCACTCAGTAAGCCCCACATCCTGCACCTTGACAGTCTTCCCCAGCATAAGCCATCTATGGTGATTCATAGGGCTATCGGATTGTGGTGTTCTGTCACTACTCTTCTCTCTCTGACAAGGTCAAAAATTAAAACCTATTCCTTTTTGCCAGCCCCTTGTCCAATCAACATTTCAGTTCCCCCAACTGATGCGTCTTTGATATACAAGGCAAGTGTGGCCTGGTGACAAGACAGAGGTCTGTATTTACTTCCAGATATCTCTATGTATTTGATAAATGCTAAGGTGGAAAAGTGTGATTATACATATATTTTGATTTCAGCAATGTGAATTCAGTTTTCCTGCTTACATAAGCCTCTGATTGCTAATGCCTCCTTTGGTAACAGAGATGAGTTAATGATTTCTAGTGCATCGTTTGTTAGTTTGAACTTGCAGTTTGGGGCAGCTGAAGATGGTTGCTTTTTCAAAATTTGCTAATTCAAACCAATTTTATTGGATAACTTCAGTGAAAGTAAAAAAATATTATGTTGGTGTGAAATTGTTCGAGAAATGGCTAAACTAACCTTTAATTTTCTGACACTTAAAAAGAACAAGATAAAGGACTTGACATGGGGTACCCCAAAACGTGGGGCATTTTATTTTTGTCTACCAACCTAGAATTCCCATGATGTGTGGGAGGCCTGGGTTTTTTTTTGTTTTGTTTTCTCCTTCTGCCAGCTTTCTCACCATTCAAGGAGAGAATGGGGTTGTCACTGCGTTACAGGATATTATGGAGCGAGCTACTGTCTGCCTTCTGTTGCTACTTCTTCACTTGTATATCTGTGAATAAAGCCTTTTCTCTTTTAAAAAATGATGAAATAATTTAAGTTTATGAAACACTGAATGCAGTCTGAAAGAAATGCATTTTAATTTTTTCATGTTGACATGTATGTTCAGAAATATTTCTTTTGGATTGATTTGAATAGAAGTTTTACTGATTGCTTGATTTGGCCACCAAATAGCAAAAAACAGGTAGCTGCCCAAGTTGGCAGCTCTGTTAGAGTATTTTAACAAGATTTGTCTCTGCTTGCAGAGTTCTGTCACATCTAAATTGCAGATGTTGTTGTAGATCACTGAACACGTGACACGTTAGTAATAACACTGAGGAACTTGGCAGGTTCAGGCATAGCCCACTCCCCCATCTGGTGAAGGAAAGCCACATTAATTATAGTACTAGCATGGCCCTTTGTGAGCAAGCCCTTACAGGGAATTCAGAAGGAAACTGAAATATAAAGTCAGTGATGATCAGTAATGGCCACCACTGATTAGCAGGAGACAGGAGCCCAACTTGTGGATTTGAATGGAAGGACAAAATTTATTTAAATGGAAGGTATTCCGTATACTGATTTGTGTGTAGGAACAGCAGTCCTGCAGCTGTAAACCTACTCAAAGACGAAACAGTATTCTCTCCTGTAGCTGGCCTACAGAGGTGCAGAAACCAGACTGTAAAGAAAGTTATTTAATTCTCATGATACATATGCTTGTTCAAACAATAGGTTTTGAGTTACCTCCACAGCTAATGAAGCGTATGATCATTCATGCTTCACAGGATTTTTCCTTAGGCAGAAACAAAACATCTTCATCTTATATTCCCTGAACCCAAGTATTTCATTCAAAATAATAAACAACCCAGCAACCAAACAGTAGTACCTCTTAATGATGTTTTCTGGCCCGCGTTTGGCCAGAATTTGGTTCGTATTTGGTTGCACGTAATAGCACAAAAGGATAAGAATAAGGTAGAAATAATTCTTGCTAAGCTGTGGGTGTATCCAAAAACAAGTTTCCCATTCATTGCTCTTTTTTAATATTAGGATTCGTTTCTGGGACATGCAGACTTGTATAAATTACAGAGAGAAGGTAGCAGATGCCAAGAAATGGTAAAAGCACAAAGCAAGACTAGAAGTAAAGACAAGTCAAGGTACAATGCCGTTGAAGGCTGTGGTCATGAAGTGGTACAGAATTTCCTTTCCCCAGAAGGTGCTGAAACCCTGGGAGTGATGCCAAGCGCTGTGGGTTACCGCGCTCTGAGCCTTCAGAGCATGGTTCTGTGCTTGCAGCCCGTGAGAACAGTATGGGCCTAGAGAGTACTTGGGTAAGGGCTGTGGCCTATCTAGGAGTGGGGAAGAGCCTCAGGGAGAGGGAAAGGAGAACACGCATCCTTTGGAGGAAAGGAGTCGACGTACTTAGCCAGCTTAGCCAGCCTGAGAAAGAACCGACCCGTGAGATGCATGAGGGAGTATATTTAGCTGTCATGAGAAGGTATTCCTAGACGCTGAGGAGATCTGGCATAGCACATTAACATCCCCCTTTGGCCGGTGCAATGCCGACTGCAGCCGTGAAGTTAATGAGAGGCTTTGCACAGCTTGTCTCCTTTTCTGTTATGTAGCACAGAATATACTAGCAGGTGCTATGAGAATGAAACGTGGAAGAAAATAGATGCCTTAGCCCATTTAGTGAATCTGCATCCAGCCTTTGTCGTGCTGCATGAGAAAGGACAAGTGTGCTGCTGCAGCTACGTGCAGCTATGTAGCTAGCTACAAGTTATAATGCTTCTTCAGCTGACACGTATTTGAAATTATCTGCAAATAAGCATGAGAAATATGAAGGCAACACTGAAGAAGAGAAAAAAAAAGTGTGTTAGTAGAGAAGCAAGAACAGGTCAGAGTCTCAGGTTATGCCATTTGGAGATGTGTGTAGCATCATTTAAATCATTTATAATGTCCTATGAAATTGTAAGGAAACAAACATCTCCCCTTCGTAGTTTGAATTCTGTTTCTCTAAGGCTGGAAAGTACAAGTGTATCAAAAATGGAAGACATACTATTCTCTCTCACATGCTCCCAAAAAGAAAAGGCACAAGACATAGAGACTTTGTAAGAGAAATGGCACAGCCAAAGGGCAGGCTTAGAAGATCAGGTACAGCAGCAGCAACCCTACTTGACCTTATAAAGTATGCATGCTCCTTTGATGCGGAAGACAGTTGTCTCAGCAGTTCACAGTTACGATGTTTGGAATGGTAATTTTAAGAAGAACAGCAAACTTAAATTTGTGCTGAAAATTTAGAAAACCTAGCAAATAATAAAGCAAATTGACTCATTTCTCACCTCCCACCAAAAATGCCTCCCAAAACAAAAAAATTATAAACAGATATTTGTGGTTACTTTTGTGACAGCTATTATAGAAATATCTACTGTGTTTAGTAATTAAGCCAAGAGATAGAAGAAGCCTGAGGAGCGATGTGCAGAATTCCTGTTTTCAATCTTTCTAGTTTGCTGCTTTATAAAGGGACTCCGCAGTGTTATAGCTCCAGTTTGACAGTAAGCACAGTCTTAAACCTGAGTCCTGGTCTGTGCCCTGCTTACTACGCAAGCTGAACTATGGACTATACATATGAGATGGAGATGATTTGAAAAGAAACATTTTAAGAAAATGACTTGCTGGACAATAGGCAGTATATGCAAAAGGGATGTTATTGTTTCACCAGATTCTCTCTGAAAGGATGCTTGCATCCCAAAGGAACTGTAGAAACTGCTGTATTTTTCTTGCTTCTAATACTTCAGAATGTTCTGCAGTAGGAGCTAAGTCGATCATTTGAAATAACAATTAAAGCTGTACAAATAACTGACTTTTTTGTTCAATAATCAAATCAAAGAGCAAGAGAAAGTCTGAGGAAAATTCAAGAGAACCTTAAATGATAAATTTTAATCACTATTAAAATTAAATATTTAAATTTTGCCATTTTAAAAATTAATTCAAGTTAAATCTCTGAATGAAGTGTTTTAAAGCAAGAATGCAAAGCTTCTTACTTTAAAATGTCACCATGAATAATTTCAGCTTAAAAAATTAATTTATTAATAGATTCAGTTGAATAAAACCATTTTGAGTATATATTTTAGCTATCCAAAAAATACACTTAAGTCTGTTCTTCATTGAAACAAAGGGCTCTTTGTGTTTAAAAAAAAAAAAAAGCATCTTCCTATTTTTCATAGAGCAATACAGGTTCCTAAAAAGGACTCAAACGTGCATAGTTCCTCTTTGCTGTGAGTGCAACCATTAATCCTGTCCTGCTGGCTGACTTTTCTGAAAGGTGTCTCAGCTGAAGGAAATATTAGACCAACAAGCAAATAATTTCAAAGAGTCACTGAAGAAACATGATCTGCAGTCCAGCAAAGAAAAAGAGAAGCTTTTGCAGGATCTTCAAAACACTATTAAAGAAAACCAGAATGTTAAACTGAAGCTGGAGTCATCACATCAAAAAATCGTAAAAATATTGGAGAAAAGCAAAAATCAGGAACTCAAGGTCAGTTTACAAGGTACTGGTTTAAAAAAAAAGATCTTAGTTGTGGGATAAATCATCTCAGCTAAGAGCTGATTAACAAAATTCAGTTATTTCCAGTTATCTTAATGATGGGTTGCCATTGTTGCATATAATGAATTATCCCGTGGTTTTGAGAGCTCATCATCTTTAGGATTTTTTAATATTTATTTTAATATTTGAACTTACCCTACAGTCTAGATGAAGAAAAACCTGATTTTAAACTCAGAAAACCATGCTGAAGGTAGCAAGCTGGTGATAATAGAACAAAGGATGAATTTGCCCTGTACTTTATACTGTATGAGCATTTCTACAGACAATGGAAGATTTATTCAAGAAAGATAAAGGAAGGATGAAAGCATTTGTCTGACACAAAGTGATAATTAGTGGCAGATGGGTCAAATCTGGGGCTTTGTGTGCTAAATAATAAAACATCTTTCTAGTGCCAAATAGTGCACAAATGTCAGCGTTACTATTTCATGATATACAACAAATCTAGTGGATTTGGGAGAATTTCTCCATATTAAGTTTTATTTTTTAATTTCAGCTCAGTTCTTGTTCTTGTGTTGATGAAGCGTCATTTAAAGTGATGGTGAAAATAGTCAAAGTTCTACAATGAAAGGCCAGATTCATCCTGACCTTAAAAGTAAAATAACAAAATGATTAATAGACTCCAACTCCTTTGTTTTCTTTGGGGGCCGGGGGGGAGATTTGCTTACAGGAGG